GTGTTTATGAGATATTGATTCTACATGATATTTTTGGAAGGTAATCCTTTAGGTAAAAGATTGAATTAAACGACTAGTATTGTTCTAATTCTCACTTGTCCATTATAGACCACCTCTAAATTTGGAATTAGTTACATTAAGATTATTGTATCATCATCTAAAGTGGTATTTGTTTACATATGAAAAAAGAGTATATAACTTGCTCCTCCTAAATAGGAAGAGAAATTGAACAAAACGTTATTATACACCTAGAGCATTTTCTTATGGTAATGATTTTGGTGATTCACTTTACTTTAAACTTAAATAGACTATATACATTAGGGTAGTCAGACATTGTACAAAATGGGTGCACTTTTGGGTGTGAATGGAAAGCTTCAGAGATAAAAAGAAGAATCTTGTAACACACGTTCTATGCATGCATTCAAGATGTGCACATGTGGTGGTGGTGGTGTTTTCTAGACATCTTTTCTCCTCTCTACGGTTGTCTTCATGTAGCCATAGAAAGAAACGACAAATAAGTTGTTGAATCAGGACAAAAGGGTTGGAATATGCTTATGAAATATTACTTCTGTATGATATTTTTGGAAGGTAATTACTCGGTATATTACATAAAAGACTATAAGACATTATACCATGTTAAATGACTAGTATTGCTCAAAACCTCACTTGTCCAAATAGACACCACCCAATCCAAATTTGAATGGATTACATTTAGATAACTATACCATCATCTAAAATGATATTTGTTTACATATGAATAAATGGTATATAGCACTTTTTTCCTAAATAGAAATACTGAAATAGAAACCGAAAGAAACATGTTTTTGAAAACCTAAAACATTTTCTTATTGTAATGATGATGGATTTTAGTTGTTTCACTTTCCTCTCTTCCTATATGGTAGTCTAATATAGTATCTATGGAAGAAAGCAATCTGGAAGAAGCTTGTTAAAATGAGAAAAAAGATTAGAGTGGATTTTGCAGAGACTAATTTTTTAGGACTTCTTACAAAAGGTAATACTCAATATAATAGGTAGATAATTGTAAAAATATTCTACCATTTTTTATATGAATACAGATCTAAATCTACTCGTTCAAACTAGATGCATCCTGAATTTTTATGAACTGCATTAGTTCTGATTTCTGAAAGACTCAAAGAGAGAATACATTGGAAGTCAATAGAAGGATTTAAGCACTTTCTTTCTGAATAGAAAAGGACAACATCAAAATACTTTGTCCTAGATTTTTAGGGTCAGTTGTGTGGACCCTAATCTTTCATTTATTTTGTTATGGATTATCTCCTCCATTTAGTGAGTTATTATTAATATTCTTCTTAATTGATTCTAACTAAGTTCTGTGCAAATTAAGAAATTGGGTGGGATCAAAGAGTATAAAGAACTCTTTTCCTAGAACATAAGCAAAGAGTCTCTTGGAATATGATGGTTCAATCGATGATGTTCCTCCCCCTCGATTTTCATTTGATGATTAATTCACTCTATTGTATCCAAGGTTTTAAATATCAGAAATTGAGAAAATATTGGACAACCAAAAGTTATATCAGATTGTGGATATCGGGAAAATATCAAGAATATGTGGTAAATATTGGAGGTTATATTGGATGATCTGCATGTGTAATATAATGTTCTAGAATGTAATATAAACATATTTAATGAAATCTACGCATACAAAAATGTAAATAATTTATGGGCAAAATGGCCAAATTAGTATATTTTCTAGAGGCCTGGTGACATGTTGGTATATTTTCTTTTTATTTTGTCAGATTGGTATAAAATTTCATCTTTGGCGCCATATAGGCCTTAAGTTTGGTCGGAGTCAATTTTCCGGCCATTATTCTCACGCGATAGCTCACGTGACTCCGACGTGGCCTTGACGTAGACTCCAGCGTGGCGGGTCGTTGGGATGAATAAATTTCGGCAAAAGGGGGGTTTATATCTCCGATTAGGGCTTCCATCTTCTTCTTCCTCCTTCTTACTCCATCTTCTTCTTCTTACTCCATCTTCTTCTTCCTCCTAGGGTTAGGGTTAGGTTCAGTGGGAGTTAAATTAGTGATGGATTCTTCATCTTCAAGCTGTCGCTTAAGATCAGTGTCAAGCACAAGCATGGGAAGAAGCAGACAAGGGTTCAATGGAATAAAAGCTATACGACAGTGGAATGATCTAGCAAAGCAATCTGGGGTGAAGATTTGTAATTGTGGTTTGGATTGCGAATATTTTACTTCTATGACTAATGAAAATCTAGGACAGAGGTTCTACAAATGCCGCAATCAGCATGTAAGTAAAATTTACTTCCTCATTTGTTGCAGTAATCAACTGCAGTTTTTACTTGAAAGTTATAATTTTTTACGCATCTCACTTGATCATGGTCTCCTTTGATTTTTGAGTAACGATAGGCTGGTGGTTGTGATATTTGGAAATGGATTGACAAACCAATGTGTAGTGTTGGATGTCAATTGTTTCCGCTTCTAAAAGAGGAGATCAATGATTTGAGGAATACGTTGTTGTTGAAGGAGGAGTTACTTCAAAGGTGTGAAAATCAGCTAAGATGATGCAATGAGAACATTTACAAGCTTAAAGAGGATGTCGAATTGTCTCAACATGAAGCTGCTTCTTGTTTGGAAGAAGTGCAAAAAATGATGAAAGAAAGATTAGAATTGCACGAAAAGATTGCAGAAGAAAAAAGGATTATTAAGTTTATGTTGTTATTAGGAATGTTTACACTGTTTAATTCTGTATGTTGTAATGTGAAGATGGTTGTAATGTGAAAGTGGTTGTGATGTGAATAAAGCACTGTATTTTGACAGATTAGTATATTGAACTCCTAATGTGTGTTGTTGATTGTGCATGAATAAATAAACTTTCTTGGTTGTTATATACAGGCATGAATGCACTTGAACTGGTGCAATGACTTGTATAACCAAATGTACATGACCTGGTTCAATGACATGAATTCAATTGTACCTGGTGCAATGACTTGTATAACCAAATGTACATGACCTGGTTCAATGACATGAATTCAATTGTACCTGTTTGACCCATATTGCACATGAAACCAAATGTACATGACCTGGTTCAATGACATGAATTCAATTGTACCTGTTTGACCCATATTGCACATGATCTGGTTCAATGATGTCAACAAAGGGATTGGCATGAAGTAGACATATAAACTTTAAATATGCCAAACAAATGAACATCCAGAATACCAAATGTATCAGGTAGAACATTGCTTGGAAACTACTATGACACATAACAAAACACAAAATACCAACTGCATGTAAGTTACAGAACTTTATCACATAACATAACACAAAATACTAAATAGAACATGCTCAGATAGAACTGATCAACGCATCTAAACACAAAATACCAAATAACAACTTTGTCCCAAAATACAATAACCAGACAGTAACAACTTTGTCCCAAAATAACATTAACCAGACATTAACAACTTTGTCCCAAAATACAAAACACTGGTTATCTACTGCAGTTAATTACACTCACATTCCTGAGAGGGTGCACTCTGTGAGGATGGAGCATTAGGTGTCAAATGTATCACATTTACTTGACTATCACCATTACCACAAACCAAACCCTTCTGGCATCCGTAATTGACCTGCACCACCTCTCCCTCTACCTCTCTCTCTCCCTCTCCCTCCCCCTCCTCTACCTCTTCCTGCCTCAACGCTGGTTGTTGGAGCTTTGCTTCTTCTTCCAAGGATAATGAATGCTGGCGTTGGAGCATTGCTTGGAGGCATGTCACCACATCTAATTTTGTTCAGGTTTTCCTTTGATCTCCCCTTTTTCCTCACTTGAGATGGTCCTTCATCAACTCTTGTTCCTTGTGATTCCTGCAAGATGGATCAGATACGGCTTAAGTTGTTTAAAGAACACAAAATACAGCTGTAAAAAAATAAGCTTACTTGTGTAGCTTGTTGCCTTGGTGGTGCAGTGGGGTACTTTCTCCATGTATGTTCATTTGATTCACAATGGGTGCATCGTCCTTGCACACCTTGCCTTGATGCCTTAAATTGATTTCTTGGACCTTCTGAAGGGTCCCTCCTTCTAGCATGTTTGGGCCTCCACATTGGCTTCCTAATACTATGAGGAGACAACACAGATCCCTCCTGTTGAAGGTCCCAAAATTTGGTACCTTGCACAGGGTTTAACAAGCTCTCATAAGCTTTGTACCAATGAGCAACAAAATCTTCTGGATTCTTTCTCATGAACAATATTGCACTAATGACATGGGAACATGGAATTCCAGTCAAGTCCTAAGCCCTACAAGAACAGGTATTTTAACCCAAGTTAACCTCATGACCAATCCCTCTGCGATGTATCTCAAATCCACTGTAGTCATTTGTTCCCGACCAACGTGTTTGACAGTGCAATTGTTCTTGATATCCCTCTTTGATTTTCTTGCTTATTGTAAGGGCAATCTCACCCACAAATTGCGTAATCAACTTCCTTTTTATCTGCATCCTATCCATCATGGCAAGCCTAATGTCTTCTAGCATAGAAATTATTGACTTGTATCTTGCAAGAAGGATGAATGAGTTGAAGGTTTCGGACATATTATTGTCAACACTGTCACATTAACTATGACATTTAAAATTGGACTTACAGAAGGTGTGAGGATCCCTTGCCATGAAGTCGTCGTATGCCCTTTAAGAGTAATCCTTAAGTTTGCCAGCCTCTCTTGCAAAATCCCCCATGGAGGTTGCCTTCACACAATACCAAAATTGTTTTTGAAGAGTTCTTCCAGTATGTGCTTTCCTCCAATTGGAATAAATGTGTCTTACACATTTCCTATGCTCCACTTGAGGCCAAACTTCATGTATAGCTGGAACTAAACCCTGGTTAAACAAAAAAACATGTCCAGATATGTAAACATGTAACCCAGATAGAGATTAAATTGAATATGACATGAAATTGATCCTTACCTTTTGTTGGTCTGAAATTACTGTCCATCCCTCTCCCTCTCCCATGTTGCAAGGTTTTAAATATTGATCGATATGTCCGACATGTCGGTCGACATATCGGTTTGAGGGCTTGACCGACACGACATAGACGTTTTCAACTCGTATGTCTGTTTTCAGGGCCAAATCGGAAATATCAGGGTCATATCGGGCATATCGGCCTATTTTTAGCTTTGAAAAATCAGCTGATATGGTACTTTTTTTAAGATATGTTTTTTGTTATCGGGTTTGAGTTTAGTGATAAATACTCAAACTCATTTGACCCGTTCTCATGTTTAAGGGTTTCTTATAAACCCGATAAAAATAATTTATGAACCCAAATCCATATATTATTTACTTTTTATATGTTTAGTCTATAGAATTTATAAAGTATGCCATATATTATTTACTTTTTATATGTTTAGTCTATAGAATTTATAAAGTATGCTTATATTGAATTTATGAATGCTTAGATTATGTTTAGTCTATAGAATTTATAAAGTATGCTTATATTGAATTTATGAATGCTTAGATTACATTTAGGACGATATTATACATATGCGCACTACCCAATATCATAATCCGATATTTAATCAATGTCCCCCGATATATCCCCGATTTTCGCTATCCGATATAGATTTCAGCCATCCGACATAAACCCGACATCCGACATTTAAAACATTGTCATGTTGAGATCATTGGATAAGATTCTCATAAACTATTCCTAAGAACTCCTTGTTTCACCCTCCACAACAGCCCATGCAATTGGCCACATCTGATTATTGCCGTCTCTCCCCACGACACTTAGCAATTGCCCACCACATGCATGTTTAAGAAAGCACCCATCAAGTCTAAATATAAATCTACAATTGTTGGCGAACCCCCTTTTCATGGCTGAGAACACATGAATGAATTCAGTATGACCTAAAAAACCTGCACATACAAGCTTTGATAAAACTTCAAAATTTTCTAACAAACACTTGAACTTTACCTGCAAAGCACACGTAGAATCTTTGAAAGACTCATGATTCTGATAAGTCACTTTGATCTGTGACCTTCAGAATGCATGTACTTCCAACATTACTCATTAAGACCTCTCTCATGTATAGCTTTAACAAGCCATATTGCTTCTTAAACAAATCATCTACTGCATTCAAAACCCTACTCTTTGCCCTCCTACATTTCCTTAAATATACTATGATCTCATATTGTTTTTGTATTTCTGCTTTCATGTCTTTGGGCTTGAACTTAGGATCCCTCAAAAAATTATCAATAAATTTTCCTGCAAGCCAACCTTTAGTGATTAGCCTATTCTTGAATGTCCTGCTACAAGTATGATAAGGGTGCATACTACTGATTTTTCAAGCACTAGCATCATCACGACATGGTGTAACATTTAGCTGCCAATGACAGAGTGCACAATTCACATTCAACTGCCTCTTATCATTTTTTCCATAAACAATGTCATAGTGTTCTTGTATGGAGTAATTCAATATTGCTTCTTTTAATATTTCCCTTGACGTGAACTTCAATCCTACTGTCAATTTAACATTTTTCATGTCAACTTCTTCATTAAAAAATGGATACTTGACCTTTGCTGCTTTTTTTTTTAAACTTTGGATAAGAGTTCATCCTCATCACTTGCCATTATGGGACCTTCATCACCACTTGATCTAGGATCTGATTCATATTCACCATCATAATTTGTAAAAAAATCTGGCCATGACTGTTGTTGTGATCCAGCTCTTGAATGCACTCCTTCATGGGGTGATGTTGGTACATTAGCATTAACCACTTGAGGGGATCTGACGGTGTTAAATTGAATGGAGTTACCTGCATCAACATCATCTCCCAGTACTGCACAAGAGTTTAAAGCAATGTTGCCCATCTCTTGACTTAGAATCTCCTTATTGCATTGCCTAATCTCTTCAGTTCCTCGTCTCCATTACATATAGCAGCTTGAAAGGAATCATCACTATAGGCACCGTGAACCTCATTCACTGCCTCCCTATCTTCCTGGCCTGGTTCAGGAAGATGGGCACCGTGAACCTCATTCATTGCCTCCCTAGGTTCATTATTTGGTTCAGACACGCCCTTATTGCCCTCCACATTCACTGCCTCCCTAGGTTCAATATTTGGTTCAGGCACACTCTCATTGCCCTCCACATTCACTGTAGGCATTGTCATCCTCTTTCTTTTGCACATTCTTCTTTTTTTCCCTTGCCATTATTGCTAAACTCATCAAATAGTTCATCTTCATCAAAGTCATCATCTACAAATGCCTCCTTAGGATCCATTCTGTAATTCTCATCCTCCACAGAATCACCATTATCACTAGATGGACTTGACTGCTGTTGTGCACTACACGGATCATCTAAAGAGGTTGAAATTAGTGCTTCTTGTTGTGGTAGGGTTTCACTGGAGGTTGACAGCTTGGTTGCCCTCCTGGGTGTTAGTTTCTTCCCGGAGGTTGAAAGATATGTTACCTTCCTCTTGGGTATTGCTTTCTTGAGTGTTCGTTTCTCATTGGCACTAGCAGTGGCTTTCCTGGGTGTTGATCTCCTAGGTGTTGATCTCCTGGGTCCTGCTACTTTCCCCTTCTTTTTAGGAGTTGTCGCTTCTGGCATTTGCATATCTTCTTGTGCTTCAACTGGTTGAGTCTATGATTCAGAAATTGGTTGACTCACACCTTCCAACAACAACACATCACAATCTTCCATAATAACTTCTGCAGGTTCATCAATGTCATGTTCAACATAGATTTCAATTGCCTTCACCCTTTTTGCATGTTCTAGCATTTCAATGAAGGAACCTTCATCACTTAGAGACCTCAATCCACCATTTGCAACCCCTGCACCAGGAACACAGTTGAACAAGCCGTTGACATTGTTATACCCAATTGCACTAATTTCATCCATCAGTCTTTCTATGCTCAAATCCTCTTTATCTATAAACCTAACATCAAATCTACCACCAACATACTCTTCAACCCAACCCATCGAGAAACTTCCTCCATGTCTGATTTTAACCAAGATTTGGAGACTCATCTGTAATATCACAATAAAAACCGTAACTCCTCACTAAACCCATCAAAAAACCCTAATTTACAATAAACCCATCCGTAACTCCTCACTAAACCCATCAAAAAACCCTAATTTACAATAAACCCATCAAATCTACCCTAATTAGTTTCAAAAATATGAAATTTCCATCAAAAAACCCTAATTTACAATAAACCCATCAAATCTACCCTAATTAGTTTCAAAAATATGAAATTTCCACTCACTTTTTGCTCCGCGCCAAAGACGATGAAATAGATGGAAGCATTGAACTTCGATCGTCTGCAATTTGGGGATCGTCACGCTCTAAGGTTCTACGATTTTCTTCTGTAATTTGGGGAAGAGAGGGAAATTAAAGAATGGGAGTGAATTACTGCTCTTCTGCGATTTTCTAGACAAACCGCTCGCTTATTCCCGCTAAATATCGTCACGCTGGAGTTCACGTCAAGGCCACGTCGGAGTCACGTGAGCTATCGCGTGAGAATAATGACCGAAAATTAACTCCGACCAAACTTAAGGCTTATATGACGCCGGAGTTAAAATTTTATACCAATCTGACAAAATAAAAAGAAAATATACTAACATGTCACCAACCCTCTAGAAAATATATCAATTTGCCCATTTTGCCATAATTTATGTTTAGATCACTAATCAACTTTTTAAAACAAATAAAAGGCCAAGTCAACATTATAATATTTTAGCCGATTTTTTTGAGGCTAACTATAACTTGATGTTTTGGGCAAATCATGATATGTTGCCCAAAAATTACCAAAAGCGATATATTATTTTGTAACAAGCCTAAAAAAACACACATATCGACAACATATCAACTAATATGTCAATCATGTCAGAATATATAACCCGAAATTGCCAAAAAATGGTAAAGGATATTTAGACCATATCTTTTTACAAAAAGCCTTATAAAAGAATCATTGTTATAAATAGCGGTAAATAGCCCCGTAATAACGGCGTTAATAGCGTTAGCAGTCCCTTCCCGCTACGTTATCGCCCAATAACGGTGACATATTACAAAATATGCGCTTTTCGTTCGCAAAAACGGCCAATATTGTAACATAACGGTAAATAGTAGGTGATTGCATGCGAAATCTGCTTTTTAACTGCTATTTAAAAGTGGTTTGTGGTTTATTTTTTTAAAATAAACCCGACCATTGACCATTGCATTCCACTGTCTCTTGTGATTTTCGACATACTCCCGCCACCTCTCATAGCCTCTGGCACCTACCTTATTATTTTCTCTCACCTTCACCGTAAACTCCTCTTAGGGCAGTCCTCGCACCGTTCAGCTCTTCTTCTCGAAAACGACGACTCTTTGACTCCTCCCGTCGTCTTTAGTATTACGTGATGGTTACATGTCTATTTTATGTTTGAGATCTTTTTAAATCATCAAATATGTACTTTTAAATTTTTTTAAATTTTCTTTAATCTTTTTTTAGTATTTATACACATCTAAATTAGACCGTTATTTGACTTTGTATTTTTTTAATGCTATTTTTTCGCA